ACTTTCTGTCACCTCCTTTGTTTATCATACTTCATAGAGACTTCACAGCATTGAAAAAAGCCATTCTAGCATTTTTGGTAAGTATGGTATGACAGAGTGGTATGAATTGCTCCAGTGATGGTGTCAGGGAGTGAAGCCTGGGAACCATAGCACATACAAGGTATATTATAAAATTTCTTAACTTGAACATTGAGACTATCTCAATAAAAAATGTCATACTGTATCACATAGAAAAGAACTACCTGATCTTTAATTCAAGGACTTCTGTCACTATATAAATACATGTGAAAATTGTTTTAGTCACAGTATTTCCTGAGTGTCACTCTAACTTATAGTTCTTAATTTTTTTTCATGTCGGAGGTTGTTTGTGTGTGACCTTATTAACTTCCTGTTTCAGTACCTCCAACATAAAGCAACTAAATTAGACCTCTGTAGAAGTGGAATTTTCTGTATCTGATCTTGACTTTCAAGATTTTAACATTTTTCTTTTGTATTTAATTTTATTTTGAAGAGTAAAAACAGAAGCAAAAACAAATAGAAAAGAGACAAACAGGGTAACATACAACAATGCATATGCTACAGATTTTCAAACCAGGAATAGCTAATTGACAATGGTTGTTATATTATCTATTTTTATCATCACATCAGTTGTTCAGATTAACACCGATATAGTTATACAAGATTGGGGAAATAGTTGAATATTGGCACTTGCTTTCAAGAAACCGTATTTTTTTTCCTTGTGTTTCTTTTTTTGTTTTAATTTATTTTATTTTTAAAATTTATTTTTAAGGAGAGTATACTAATTGATACAACATTAGGAATGGTTCTCATTTAGAAGACCAAGATGAGAGGCATTCAACCGTGGGTTTTGTATTATACATTGCTGTCCTCGATGTAAGATTTCATACTTTAAGTGGAAAAGTAACAGACTCTAGAATTAGACTGAGCTGACCTTGGATCACAGCTCTGCTCTTTCCTTGCCCGTGTCACCACGGATTATGTTTTTAGCTTGCTGTTTTGCTTTCTCTGTCCAGTATGGATACAGAAAAAGCTACAAGGACCTTTGACCGTATGCAAACATTATAAGGACTAAATGAGATACACCGAAAGTGCTTAGATGACTAATCAACAGTTATTTAATTAAATTTGCTCATTTGACTTTCTGATTACTTTCTGTATTAAAACGAAATTAATTCTTCCTTTCTCAAAGTTTCCTCATGAGCCACGCGTTCCTTTCTAGGCAAGGTGTGCTTGTGTCAGAAGCAGTTTAAGTGTCCTCAACCCTATTTGTGTGCAATGCTTCCATTTTTCAACTACAATTACTTGCAATAATTATTATTATACTATGTGTTGGGGATTGATAACTGCAATAATTTTACCTCTTCATTGATCTTTAAAATGCTGGTCAGGGTCTCCTGAAGTTATCATTACTTGGAATATTTTCTTCGTGTAGCATTTACACCAGTGCCGTTCAAAAGTTACAGTTTGAGATTTTACAATATGTTCTGAAGATATTTTCTTCCATCCAACTTCCTCTTACTTCCTGCCTTTGACATATGCCTCCATTCTGCCACTAAGCATAATACATTGGAACTTTGATTCCCCAAATAACTTCTCCCCTAGTGTACACAGAGAAGGGCCTACCTCTGTTCCTGCCAAGATCCCTGAAGCATTAAAGCTGGGTTCCTAGGTGGAAGAGGACTGGAGGAAAAGTTTTAGCTCCCACATGGGTTTTATAGAGCAGGCAGTCTCTGGGACGCCGTGTCCCACGTCCATGAGACATCTGTTCTCTGTGGAGGGTCACGTCTGCTGGAGAATAAGCCAAGGAAAAGCTTCCTTCCTAACTGTACAGATTATATTGCCGTCAGCAGAGAACAACATTTCTTGAAAATACTGTACTTGTCTTGAGTTAACAATGGAGAAACATATCCCTGCAGGCTGTATATTCCCTAGAGGGAATGTTCTTTAATAGAAGTCATAATATCTATGAATCATATGAATTGGAAACAGTTTCATTCATTTAGTTTCTTTCCAATCTTCCTAGTCTGATTCAGATGTCTGCTGATTCCCAACTCTTGAAGCAGATATTGTGCTATTTTTTATGCCAGTACAATAGCTTTGTGACACAGAAATTATCATCAATTAGTGGGTAAGGAAACACAGAGCCCTAAGACATTAAATGGAACTGTGGCTACACAGTTATTAAATGATCTCTTTTCTTCAAATTGAGATACCCTTCTTTTGACTGTGCTAGTTTGCTTTATTTTAAGTATCCATTTTCAACTGAAGAAAAGCTCCGAGTAAGTTAATTACAGTGGATGTAAAAAAAGGAATTCAAATTAGTAATATCATTATCTCTCTCCATTTCCAGTTGGTACGAAGCAGGTAACTGATGAAGCATCTTCCACTCGAGATTCGAGCCTTACTAACACAGCAGTGCAGAGCAAGTTAGTGTCTTCCTTCCAGCAGCACACCAAAAAGGCTCTGAAGCAGGTAAGAGAGCTGCCCTTGTTCTTGCGCTTTGCTTCTACCTACTTAACGCTAACGAGTATCCTGCTGATTGAATAAAATAAGCAAGAACCTAACAATCAGAAAGGAATAGAGATCCACTGATTTTGGCCACTTCTATACTTTTTAACATAATAATTCTAACTTAAAATTTAGGTGAGGCCTAGCTTGGAATTTTGTTGTAAAATAGGAGAGGGGATGTATGCTTGGAAATACATTAAAGCTTGCATTAAATTTGTTCTGTGGGTGTGTATGGCATAGTAAACTGTGTTCATAATTTCATTGACTAATTTGAAAATAATATTCATATTTATGATTTTACTGTGTTTATCTAACATTGGTGTAAAAAATAAGTGATAAATTATTTCCTTATATTGAGATACATTAAGTTACAAATAAGAAAAATAGTAAGTGCAGCTTACTATGTTTAGAATATCTATCAGTAAGTGTTATTTGATGTTGAAGAGTTGCGTGCTGATGCTACGTAAGCTGTCTGAGGGTGGCTCTGATGCAGGCCTGCCTCGGTTTCCGTCCTTTCCTTCGCTCTGTGCGCCTACGCAAGCCACTGTGCCTCTGTGAAGCTCACATTCTTCCTCCAGGGAACGTGAAAATGATAGTGCCTTGGACTTGAAATGGATCTGAGATAAGTGAGGTGATACATTGGAGACATACAATAGTGAATGTCTAGGCCAGAATAATAATAATAATAATAATAATAATAATAATAAATATTAGCTACTGGGCCCACACTAGCAAATGCTGAATGGCATTGAGAAGGTGCTCTGGTTAGATGGGGCTACAGTCTCATGGTTACACTAATAATTGTATTCATAGATGGAAGGTTCTTATACTTAACCTTGAATTCATGGTTTGCCCTTGTTTAACTGTTTTCGTTTTACAGTTTCCTTTTGATCTTCTGTTGATCCTTACAAAATGAAAAAGAAGGTATCATTCTAGGGTGCATATTTATATATCATTTCATATCATATTGTTTCACATTATTTGTCTACTTACCTAAATTAGAAAATGAGAAATTTTGTTTTCTAAATGAAAGTTCATTTAAAACCCAGGTCCACCAGTTCCACAAAAGGTTCTTAATACTAATGTCTAATTTTCTAGGTTTGGATTGTCACCACCTACCTTTTCCTCTACTTCAAAGAAGGAAATATAGAGAAAATTTTAATGCTTTTATACTAATTTATATTACCTTTCCAATCTGTATAAATAATTGAAATCACACCATTTCCATTTTTTGATGTTGTATTTAAAGTTATAACAATATTTCACCCAGCATAGGTTAAATGATCTCAGCTTGCCATTTATTACCTAGCTTCTGTGAAGAATTTTTAGATGCTGAAGAACAAAACTAGTCAGTGTTGAGCTCTCTGTTAATTGGTGAAATAAAGGTTGGAGTATGTAGGGGAGTCTGGGTAAAGAGTCACTCAGGCAGCAAATAGGATGCAGGTAATAAAATGCTAACCAGGACAGAACAAAGGATACAAACTGGACAGTTGTAGCCGTGACATTTAAGAAACATCAGTGAGATCATAAATGAAACTCATAATTCTGAAGTGCAGTGAGTTGGAAAATGCACACACCAGGAAATCTTCCTCATATGAAAGGAAAGATAAAGATTAGAGTCTCTGTACTGTCCTGTCATTATTTTTTACTTTATTTGTTTTGTCATTACATTACTTGAGCATTTTTTTTTATGATCACTAAAGTGTTACACAACTTTGAGTTAGAGGTGTTTTGTGGTCAAGCATATATTCATGAAACTTGTTGCTGGCTTACTTAGGAGCTAATGCTTAGCTTAAGAAACTTTTATTATGTATTTCTTAATGTTCCAAGGAAGGTATTGGTTCATTTTTAATATTTCATTTTATAAGCTACTAACAAATTAATAACCATGAGATATGGGTCAATATATATCTGATATTAAAAAATTTGATTAATAATTAAATTCATGTTAGGAATACACTTAAAAGAAAAGCTGTCCTCAGAATTCTGCCCAAATTCCGTTATTGCTGAAATTTTAAGACAAAATTTGAAAAACTGACTGAACATATGGCATTTTAATTTGTAGCAACCACAGTAAAACTACAGCTTTCTTTTCTTTTGGCTAATTAAAAGACTACGCACATATATGATCCATATGGACATGTTTTTCACACCTGTGAATATATGTTTTGTATATATGGATACAAACACAGGTCATGATTATAGTGACCTAGGCCAGTTGCATGCATACCTCAGAAATAATTACATTAGCTAATATTTACATTGTGCCTTCAGTTTGCATATGCATTTATTCCTCCTGCAAACCTCTGAAGTAGGTAGTCATACTCTTATTTTTTAAAAAAGAAACTAAGGTCTACAGAACTTAGATAATTTCTCCAAAATCAGACAGCAAGTAGAGTTTGGAGATAATGTTTCAATCCAGAATCATAGTTTTAGATTCTCTCCTCTTTGCTAATAATTGCTTTTCAGCATATGGTATGTAATAGGGTCAATCAAATTTTAATATTACTCAGGGAAATTTACATAATTGAGCTTTTGTGTAGCATAAGGATAGCAATAAAATACAGTCATTGTGAGTATCATCTGAATACAGGCTACTTATGTTTAGTACCAGCATATGATAATGACTCGCTCACAAATATATTAGCCACTATTATTATATTAAAATATTTTATGATTCAGGACGGCATTAGTAGCCCAGTTACAGGTGGAAACAAATTCCTAAGAACTTAGTAGTTTCATACTTGTAAATATGCAAAGTAAAAAACATAACAGCTTCCCTGGAACAGTAAGCTGGGTATAGTTTTCCAAATCTTGGTCCCTCACTCCTTCTCCCCATCTCAAGCATGTAGCTTCAACAAGTGTGTTCTTTGATTCCCCAACACTGTTGATTGAGTGTAGCTGTAGGCTGGGTGGCGGCATGGAAACAGTAATGTGTCTTGGTTATTGACATTTTTTTTTCATCTCCAATATTTGGGTTCCTTTTGCTTTACAGTCATCAAATATCAGTTAACATCGTATGTCTGGAATAATTACATGAATAATAGATTTTCATTTCAGCGTTTTTTTTTTTTTTTTTTTTTTTTTTTTTTTTTTTTCTGAATAAGCATGCTCAGACATCCCTGGAGAGCAGCCGATTGCTGATTATCACCTTGTTCCCTGTTTGCACTCTCCCTTGGATTTTTAGATCTTGAAAAAAAAGTATGAAAATGATTAGATTTTGAATTTTAAAGAAGGATAATTAAGAAAGATTAAATTTTTGGAAGTTGCAAAACAGCAGGAGAAAATGAAAGATTAAAAATGGATGAGTACTGTATGGAATGTGACATGGTGGTGAACATAACCTTTTATGTTGTTTCTCTTGGCTTATTTTACTTCCTTCATTAGTTATTTATGGTGGTAGAATTTATTCATAAAGTTACAGATCTTTTCCTCATTGGCTACTCCAAAGCAGATATATTCTTGGCGTTTTTCTTTAGTCTTATATGTTTGACCAACCCTGTGAAATTCCAAAGGTTATGGTGCGTGATAGCACGTTCTGAACATGGGCATTGACATTTAGGGTATTAGCCATAATGCAGATTGTTGGTACCTGACAGCCTGCTGTTTCCTGCGTGTATATTTCTTATTCAAGCTTTAGTGTTCACAGGATGTGATATTTTCAGATTTTTGGTAAAGGGCTTATTTTATTCAGTGTATTACTAGCTTACGCTGTTGGTGGTGTTTCTCTATTAAAATAGAGCCAGCCTTACTTATTTAAAATTCCAAGTTAACATAAAAGCCTCTGGTTTTCAGTTTTACTTTTTTTCTATTAGGTAGACATGAATATTGTTCTGTATTTTTTAGAATTATGTGACAAGACTTCTGTCTGTAAATGAAATGTTTATCTGTAGGTTATTCCTTTCTTTACAAGAAAATAATTGCACTATATCTCTAGAAAAAATGGTGTTCAGTCAGTATCTTTTGATTTCTTTCCTTTCTCTTAAAAACAGAATTAAATTGTTGCAAGTGTGATATGATCTTTACTTTGCCTGGAGTGATTTAGCTGTCTTCTGTTTGTTTCTGCTAGAAGTGCTTTTATTTTCAGGTTTCAACCTATAAATTTCCTTCATATTGAATAGTACCTGCAAGCTTCAAACTTGATAAGTCTAAATTATACTTCCTCTTAGGACATTGTGCATATTGAAATTTTACTCTGTAGTGTGAGCAGCAGAACGGAATGCATGTGACTAGCTTGAAGGTACGTTCCTTCATAGGAGATTGCGTTTACATTTGCCATCTGCTTATTTATTTAGGATCTGATATTACTCACTTCTAGATTTAAAATGACAGCACTTAAATTTGTTCAACAGATAATTCATTAGTATTCCAAAGTGTAGCTGAGGCTGAGGCATTTGAAATACTTTCTTAATATCATAGCCCTAGAATGAGTGTAGATGAAACCCGTCAAGGTTATATACTATTGATATGAAAGCCACGTTATGGCCTAGTCAACAGGGCCACCCCTAACCTGGTGTGGAATGGAGAAAACCATTCCCACTTAGGCTGTCTCAACAAAGAAAAACATACCTTTTTAGTGGTACAGGATGTACCCTTTATAGCTATCCAAGGCAGTTTTCCCAATCTTATTTACGTCAGGTCTGTTGGACAGATTCTTACTTTTAAGGCTGTAGGACACTCATATTTAGATGACTGTAAGTTAAAGTGAAGAAACCTGGGCAGGTAACAAGATATGTAATAACATGATACAAATTTCCTTATTTTATTGAGATTTTAGTTAAAAAAAAAAACTCTAGACTAAAAATACTGTGACACAAATGTTTCTTTTAAAGAGAGGAGTTAGATACAACCTCAGAAGGGGTCAGTGAGGGGAAGGATAGATAGTCCATTGATCATTCTCAAACAGTTGTATAAAAATAGTTCAAGACTCATTGTTATCCGAGTATGCACATACACATCCATGT